GAAGTAGGATGGGCCAGTCCTGCCCCGTCCACAGTCCCTGAACTGCTAAATCAATACGAACAGGAAATGCAGTTCCACGTCGAGAGAAAGAGCTTTACTGTCAGTGACTGGTTTATAGATTTTTTCTGGGGGCCACCAGTGAAAATAAAGTACCATGAAGTCGTTTATGGGTCCATTTGGTTCTGTTCAACCCTATAAAAACTAAAAAAAAAAAAAAAATCCTCATTATCCTAAGGCTAGTGCTTTTAGGGTACATGCAGCAATTATATGCTTTGGGATTTGGGGAGCAACCCAAATTCATTATTATTCACTGTTTAATTATTTATCTTAATGCACAACAAAAACTTCTCACCCAATTTCAAGTCTTTTTTCTTATACTGTTCCTGCTCATGTCCTCTTCCTCAGATATTCTGGACAGAGATAAGCATCTTTTTAGGCCCTCACCCTACTTTTTTGCAGAAATGAAACATGTTATACACATTTTCTGCATGGTCTATGTGTATACATATGTGTATAAACACACACACACACAGAGTCTATCGTGTTTATTCTCTATATTTTCTTTTGGGTTACAATTCTTTTTCATACTGATTTGCAGAAGTTCTTTGTGTATAAATAAGTAAGATTTTTTTCCTTTAACAGAAAGATGACTCGTTAAATGTAAAATTAAGGGGCTGGGGTTGTAGCTCAGTGGTAGAATACTTGCCTTAGCACATGTGAGGTACTGGGTTTGATCCTTAGTACCACATAAAAATAAACAAAGGTACTGTATCCATCTACAACTAAAACAAATTTTTTTAATGTAAAATTAAATGTGATTTAGTGTCTGTAACTGTGATCTTCATAAGAGAAGACTCACACATCAGTCAACAATCCATTCTTAGAGTATGGTTCCCAATCCATATATACATGTGTATGCATGTGTATAATAAATGCATATGAGCGGTGAATAAACACACCAGAGGTCTTTCCATATACCCCCTCTTTTTTAGCAGAGACACTGAAGAGTATTAACTGGCCATGGTTATTCAACCAGCTTTCTGGTTACAGACGTTCGTTCTTTCCAATCTTTTGCAATTGTAAACAATGTTGCGGTCAATTATACCTTTTTATGTATATATGAGAGTTTATGAAATTAAATTTATAAAAGTGGAATTGCTAGGTGAAAAGAAAATGACACATTAAAATTGGATAGGTATTGCTAAATTGTCCTCCAGAGAGTTTGCATCAATATGTAATCCTACCTGGTTGCCCTACCCATTTATTAGTATAGCACATTATCAGGTATTTTCATCTTGATTTGTTCAACTGCTTTAGTTTTAATTTGTATATTCCTCATTCAGATTGTTAGCACTTTTAAACATGTTTAAAAGCCATTTGCATTTACTGTTCTTTAAATAAAGTCAGTATTTTCCAATTTTGTTTTGGATTGTGATTCTCTTACATGCTGATTTGTAGAAGATTTTATGCATTAATAAATGAACTTTTTTCTTTTAAAGACGACTTATTAAATGTAAAATAAATGTGATTTATTGTCTATAACTGGGCATGATTCTTCATATGAGAAAACTCACAAATCAGAAAAATAAATCTATTCTTAGAGCATGTTCCCAGATTTTTTATTTGGAAAACATGATCATTGGAAGCATTTTGAAGTTATTACAAAACTATGCAATCCATGGCAGCATTTTATATTTGTAAATTAAGGTGACTTAAAATATTTTATTGTTTACAAAACTATAAAATTACAAAACTATAAAATTAAGGCGACTTAAAGCATTTTTATAGTTTATAAAACTGTAAAAGTAATAAATGCATACTCATCTGTTTAAAAAGTCCAATATACCTAAGTCTATAAATTATAAAGTATGCATTATCCCTCTCCCTACAAAGGTAGAACCACTGTTAACTGTTTGGTGTGTGGTTCTCCCAATTTTTTTCTATACATCTGGAAATATATATTTAATGAGTTTTTTCTCCAGCAAAGTGGAATTTAAATGCTATTCTGCAACTTCCTTTCTTTCAGTTAAGGAGTTATTCTGGATGTTGACACATTTGCAATCTTTTACAATCTGTTTTTTTTTTTCTTTTTTGTGTGTGCTAGCCATCAGACCCAGGGGTGCTTTATACTGAGCTACATCCACAGATCTTTTTTATTTTTTATTTTGAGGCAGGGTCTTACTAAATTGTTTATAACCTCACTAAATTTGCTGAGGCTGACCGTGAATTTACAATCCTCTTGCCTCAGCCTCCCAAATTGCTGGGATTACAGGTGTGCAATGGTGTGCCCAGCTGCAATCTGGTTTTTCAACCTGTAAATTGATAACATATCACCTTAGGCCATGGTAGGACCTGGTAATGGCTCCCTTTGTGCAAAATAAAACCCAATTAATGTGCTTGAACAGATGTAGCTTTTGGAAATGTAGCAAACAGCCCACTATGTGCAGTTCATTTCTCTCCTACTTTGATGTCGGCATTTGGGGAATTTTATACAGAATATTGAGGGGCTTAGACTCAACTGATTTTAATCACAAGATGCACCTAAATATCTCTTATTTTGATTTTTCACAAAATTTGGCTTCTTATCTCGTTTAGGACTTTTTCCTTTTTTTCTTTTAGATGCACTTGAGGTACAAATCCTTGAAGTTGACAAGGAGAAGGAGCAGGGTCAGAATGGAGGGTGCATAGGAGTGGGAGTGGGCACAGAGCCAGGGCCTGCCAGTTTCACATGCCAGCGCAGCCCCAGCCCCTGCCTCCCACGGGAGCCTGCAGGGAGGCAGACCTCTTTGCTCAGGTGAGACTGATGTTCAGCTCCATCCAAGAACTAAGCCTGGCCCTGCCGTGCCCTATGGACAGAGAGTGCTCTGGGGCCCCGTTAAGGGGCACTTCAGGGCCCAACCCAGGGGGCTTCCATTTCCCAGGTCTTGCGTCCTGCCTGGACTTTCCCAGAGAAAGAGATCCTTTTTCCTCTCGACAAAGGCACTTCTTGCTGGGCCAAGCCCCTGGGGGCCCCATCTGCCTAAGGAGGGGGCCCTCTTTCAAGTTAGCCCAAAGGCTCTGTGAAGACTCTCCAAGCCCTGGCAAGTCTTGCCTGGAGCTGTTTGAGGAAGCTCTGGATTGGGTTTGCCCCTGGAAGCCTTGACCCAGGGGGTCGGGTCTTCTCCAACATCCTACAGGGCCACCCTCGAGCAGCCCTCCTGGGCTTGGGAACAAGCTGAGTCCTAGGAGGGGTGGCTGGATCGCAGTTTTCTTCAATAGAATCCATTCTGTGTTCATTCAACAAATATTTGAGGCTCTACCCTCGGCCAAGGCCTGTTCTAGCTCTGGAAATATGCAGAACAGGACAGACAAGGTCCCTGCCTTTGTGAAGCTGGCATTCTGGTGGGGGAAGCCAGATAAGGAACAAGTAAAATAAGTAAACAAGGCCATTTTTTTTTTCCTGAGAGTGCTATGAGGAAAATAAAACTCACAGGAGCCCTCCGGAGCCAGGGGGAGGGGCGGCTGGTGTGCGGCACAGTACCTGAGAGGCGCTTTCTCTGAGAAGGCGACACTCAAATGACAGGAAGGAAGGAGCCATGCCAACCACTTCGGAGCGTGAGAAGGGCGAAGGGCAGCACCTGCTTGGCAAAAGGCATAGTGGGGAGCCAGGGAGAGGGCGAGTTGGAGGAGAGATGAGGGCCAAGTTGTGCAGGGCCCTGAGGCCTGGTGAATCTACCTGGATTTCTTCCACATCCATGGGTGGTCAGATAGGTGGTGTGACCCAAGGGCACCGTTCAAAGAATACCAGGGATGCTCCATGGGAACAGTTGGGACACCAGTTAAGAGACTGTGGCAGTGGTCCAAGGGTGGTGGCTACCATCTCTCAATGGCAAGATGGAGAAGAGGGACGAATTGGGGATGCAGGTAGAAAGGTCTCTCCCACCGCCAGGTCCTTCAACAGAAGCAGGGACCTGGAGACACAGCAGGGGTAGCAGGATCACTGCTCTCCTGCTTGCACTGAGTGAGCGCAGGCTGACAACGGGGGCTGGGACTCCACCTGGGATGTGCCCAGGTTCAGGCATAAGAGCCCCACGTTAGAGGGCCTCATTCACACCCTCCTCTGGTGCTCCTTCCCTTGGAGTAAGAATTTCCTGTCCAAAAAGCTCCCGAACATCTCCCTGGGTCTCTTCACTAGGTGTTGGCCTGCGCGCATCTCTAGGCCCAAAGGGAGGCAGGTGACAATTTTCAAGAGGTATGCGCAGCATTTGAGCACTGTGCTGAGCACCCACACCTGCCTGACCAAGGATCTAAGGACCCTCCTGGAGAGAAGTGGGACAGGGAACGAGAAAGGGTGGGGGTGGCTGGTTCTCCCTACATCATAATGTTCTGGAGTCAAATTCAAAATTTAAATCTGGTCTTCTAGGACATGCTGAAGATGTTATTTGTTAAGGCAGAACATATTTTATCTAACAGTTTCTTAGTTTGATTGGTAACTTTTAATATTCAAACAGATGGGATGGGGGCTGCCGTTTGTATTCTGGTCCTGGATCCTTCCAGAGGATGGCAGGGACCTGCCCACGTCAACTGCTTCTTTCCCAAATGCTTAGATGGGGAGCTCTGGGGCCCATCATCTACCCAAGGAGTTTTCCACCAAAATATAACAAAGAGCTTTCCCCAATGTGCTAAACAAAATTAACGAAAATGGATAAGAATGTTCTGAATTTTAACTTTTTTATATTTATTTTTTTTAGTTGTAGATAAACACAAGACCTTTTTCTTATTTTTATGTGGTGTTGAGCATCAGATCTGGTACCTCATACGTGCAAGGCAGGGGCTCCACCACTGAGCTACAACCTCAGCCCCTGAATTTAAACTTTAAATTTTCTTTTTCTAGGATCTTTGGTGCCTGCTGCTGCTTCTCTGATTGCAGGTGCAAGCAAATGAAATAGATAAATGGCAATCAAGGAAAGAGATCACATGTTATAGTAGAGGAATATTGAGAGAAAGCTGGAAACAACAGATTCTTATGAATTCGACAGTGAGGATTTTTTTAATAGACGCTCACATTTGTGATTTTAAATGATATCCATACAATACAGTTATGTTTCCTAACAGCTAAATGATTTCTAGCTCATGCTGATGAAATAATGACGCCTTAGAACATTCTGCAGAGAGTGCCATGATTTCTAGGTGAATGATGATGTTGAGAGCCCTGGTTTAATATACCTCCAGACATTTGATAACTGTTGCAATGAGTTCCTTAATATGCAAAGGCTCCGGGAAAAGTAGAACCTTAAAAGTGTGCTTCTGGAGGGTAAGAAAAATGCAACAAGCCCTTATTATCAAGCAAGCATCCACAGCATACTAAGAACTGGCCTCAGCATATACATTCTCCCTAATCCCTCTAGCAGCCCTACAATGAATTATTGTCCCCAATTTATAGAAAACAGAGACTCTGGGAAATTCAGCAACTTGTCCAAGCCCACCCAGCAAGTAACTGATGAGGTAGGGGTTTTAATGGGTCTGAAGAGTCCCCCACACCACTGGTCCTGCCAGTGAGATGTGTAACTTCATGGGAGACTGGCGGGGGGGTTCTCCAAGAGAAGAGAATCTGTTGATAAGAAACACTAGTCTTCTGACTGTTTGTCCATTGGGTTTGTGTGCTTTTCCTGTTGATACCTACAGCAAAAAAAATGCCTTAGTATAAAATTCATTTCAGAATGCATTTGTAATAAAAAGTAACTGGTATTTGGTTTGTTTGTTTGTTTTGTGCATGTGTGTGTTTTGATTTTTTTGTTTACTTTTTAAGAATGTCTTTAAAAGTATGTTATTGAATCACTGCAACTGCATTAGATGTACCCTGTTAAATACTCCTGGCTCCTAACCAGAGCTCAGCTGTGCCTGAAAATGGTGGTTCTGACCTTTTACCTTAATTGCTCCTGCTTTGGAGTGATGGATCTTACATCCACACCCCAGCTTTAGATAAAGTTAGAAAATTACATCAGAAGGATTAGTGCCATTTTTCCTCTTCAGAATTCAACTGATTTTCAAACTTACGTATAAAGGGGTTTTTTGTGCATCATACTAGGAAGGTTAAACCAAAGTAAAATAAAAAATTACTAGGGCTGCTCTGTTTGTTTTCCCAAAATGGTTAACTTTGCAAATGCCTCTAGAATCTGGCTTCATTCTGGAGAACTCAAAACTCAGAACCACTGTGCAAAGAGGATCCCCTTTCTCCTCTCCCCTGCTCCCCACCCAGCCTGTCCTACCTCTCCAGCAGAGAGCCTCCTTTTCTGACCTATAAGGAGCACAGGGTGCCCTTATTAATCTTCATTTCTGTTGCTGGCTGCCTCCTCTGTAAAGCCAGAATCAGAGCATGTCTCTTCTCTCCCTGGCCCCTACGTGACAGAAGCCAGGCCAGAGATAGCTGGCAGCCTGTCAAAACTGGGGTCCCCATTGTACATCATCAGCTTCCTGCTCTGCACAGTGAGGCAAGCCAATTTGAGAGCCTTCCCTTGACTCTCTAGAGAGACCACTAAGTTACCAGATCTTAAAGATGGGCAGACAGGGGACTTACAAGGTTCTCTTGTTCCTAGGTTTGTCGCCACTGAGGGTAAAACAAGGAGCCTTTTCTCTCCCGGGAGATTCCCCTTCATTCCCATTTCTCACACTGACAGTTAACCAATGGCTGAGTCTCCCTTACTTCATGGGCACCTCCCTTGTCAAGAGGCTCCAACCCAGGCAGCTCACCCAGATTTCCCACCAACTCCTGCTTCAGGACTTGACAGCTCCAGGACACATATTCCACAGGTAACTCCTAACAGCCCCTCACCTCTGGGAATTTGTCCAGCCCACCCAGGGACCCACTACTTGCCCTCTAGACTACTTCCTCCTCATCCCAAGATACTCTGTTAAACTGCAAAGGAAAAGCAGGGGATGGCAGGTGGATCTTGGTAAGTGCCCCTGGGCCAAGTCCTTCCTCCAGAACCACAAAGCAGACAGGTGGTGACTTGCAGGTTAGTCCCGGTGACCTCCCAGGGGCTTAAGGAGGATATCATATATGTCAGGAGAGGTGACCCCAGCCAGTGCAGGCATTCAGTCCCGACATCTTGTTCAAATCCGTCCTGTCCTCTGACCCCACCGGGTGTGCCTGTGTCTCATTGACCAACCCCCACCTCCCCGACTCTTGTCGGAGTGTAGCCTCTCAGGAAAACCAAATGGGACAGAGAATCTCCCCTGCTACACACCAGAGGACAAATGCCTGTAAGGTAAGGCATTTTCCTTCACCTGAATGGCCTTGGCCATCAACCCAGCCCTGTCTGTGGATCCAGGCTTATCTGAGCCCCTCCCCGGCTTGCCCTATACTCCAGCCAGTCAAACATCAGGTCCTTTGTTACCAGAGCAGGCCATGCACTCGAGCCTCTTCACCTTTGCACCTGCTGTTCCCTGCTCCTAGAAAGGCCCTTTTCCCCTTATCCTTCTGGCAAATTTCTGCTCATTTCTCAAGGTACAGCTCAAAGGTCCACTCCGGAAGGAAGCCCTCACCTCCTGTCTTAGTCTGCTCAGGCTGCCCCGACCAGATCCCACAAACTGGGTGGTATAAACAACAGACATTTGCTTTTCACAGCCCTGGAGGTTGGAAGTCTGAGAACATGGATGGGGTTCTGGTGAGGGCTCTCTTCCTGGCTTGCAGATGGCCACCTTCTCTGTGTGTGCTCCCATGGTCTTCCCCTTCTTATAAGCTCACCAATCGTATCTGACTGAATCTCATTTAACCTTAACTCCCTCCTAAAAGCCCTATATCCAAACACCATCATGTTGGGGATTAGGGCTTCAGTTTTTGAATTTTGAAGGGACACAATTCAGTCCACTGTACCTCTCCAAAGCCAGTGGCTTTGATCAGGGCAGGATGTCTCTTGACCACAGCACATCTATCCTTAATCCCCACCCACGTCTCTAAGGAATGGGATGAATTCGTGGGTAAGGCCCTGCCCCTGCTGTTTTGGTGCCAATGTCCCCTGTGAAGAGACCCTTTCTTCTCAGATGACTCTATGTATGACCTGTCTGTTTCCCTGCCTGTGTTGTGTACCCTCCAAGAGCAAGAGCCACTTCTCACTCATCTGGGAACTCAGTAACTTGCCAGGGCAGGCCTGGGCAGGTGAATTCTGGTTCCACTGTTGAAGTACCTGCAGCCCTTGGGCTAGGAGCCCCTCTTCCTGCCTCCCTCACCCCCACACACTCAGCAGACCCTTCCTTGTTGGAGAAGGCCTTATCCCTATGCTGCCCAATCTTTTGGTCCTAAGAGAATTCCCTCTCCCTTGCCCCCTGTGTCTCTCTATGCTAGGAAAGGGCCACTTTCTACAATGTCTTCTTTGTTCCTACACTGGGAAAAGACATTATTTTCAGCACTGTACGAAAACTGAAAACTGAAAATCCCTCTTGGCCTAATTTCCCTCTAGGTCTCCTTCCACAGGTGCATGGAATATTAATGGGTCCGCTTCTGGCCCAGAGAGAGCCCTCCTCAGCTTCTAGTAGGTTGTTTATTTAATATATCTGCTTTTTTGACTCCCTCAGTCCAAAAACATCAAACTAAAAATAACTTGTTTATGAGCTTTGGACCCAAAACGAAGCAGTTGGACCATTAATCACTGGAACTATATTGAATAGGAACTTGATTAAAGCATAGGATGCATTCCCCAGACAAAGCTGGTTCTGTGACCACAGTGTTAGCTCAGGCCTCCCCAGCCTCTTTTTTTTTTTTTTTTAAGCTGCGCCTCCGGGCGGGTCGCTGCGCCTTGACAGGCCTACGAAGGCCGCTGTGCGAGGGTCTTGACTCGCTCAGCAGCCGGGGGACTCTCCGAAAGGCGCACCTCCAAGGAGCACCCGCGGGATGACAGGAAGCGAGCATCGGGCATGGTGCCTTAGCTCAAGATGCCGCAAGGAGCTAAACAGGACAGAGGCAAAAGAGACTTGCCTGCTAGCGACACCCCATCCGTCCCCCCACACACACTCCACCCCCGCCGCCACGATCGGTGTAGAGAAGGCGCGGGACGCCACGTGGCTGGGGAGACTGCCTACCAACTCCTTCTACCCGCAGCTAGGAGCGCGGAGATGGACGGTGCCCGAGGGGGCCACGACGACCCTCAGGATTCTAGGGTGCGAAACACGCGGCAGAGTCCCCAGAGGGTGCTCTGACTCCGTGGCCCTGACTCCCTCCACACCCCAGCCCCGTCGTTGGCGCCCACCTGAATGGGAACAGGGAAAGAAAGCGTGGCTTCGGGCCTCGAAGACTGCGGGCCTCGGGGTTCCAGTCCAGGAGTCAAGTTCGCCTCTCAGTGCACCACGACACCCCCACCCACCCGCACCCACCACTGCCACCGCGCCCCTGCGCTCGCCCGGTGTGTGCTGCTCGGGCAGCCCTGGGGACCCACCCGCCTGCCCCAAAGTCAAAAACTGTCGGCTCGGCACCGGGTACTAGCACTTGCCTAGTGCGCCAAGCAGCCCTCACTCTCCAGACTGAAGAAGTAATTAAAAAGAAAGTTTTCCAGCCGGGGCGGATCAACCGGCCGGGTTCTACTGGATCCCGGGCCGCGGACGCCTTCGCTCCTGCCGGGTCCTAGCGCCCTGCGCTGCTGAGCCCGTGGGACTCCAGAATACTCCCGAGAGGAGAGCTGGGGAAAAGTGCTTCTGCCTAGGATCAGCGGGAGCTGCCTGAGGATCGGAGGTGGAAGACCCAGAGTCTGCGCGCCTCGGGCCCCTTCACACTGCAGTGCGCGCTGGTTTTTGTGAAGCTGTCCCCATCCGCCCCCCGCGCCGCCGCTCTAAGCAACAGGCTTCCCGAAACCCGGGTCCCGACGGGCCTGGTCCCAAGGTGTAAGGCGAGTCCGTGCCCTGGTAGCTCAAGACCAAGGTTCGCCTCCACCAACCCCCTGCGTGGCCTCTGGATGCTCCGGGGCTCCTGGGCCGTTGACTGGAAGTGGGTGCTTTGGGGAAGCTAAAAAACGGGCGCAGCCACCGACCACGTGTGCGTGGGGGCTACTGCCCCGCCGGGGGAGGGGCACCCTGCGGCGCGGGGGTTCGACTTGCGGCGTAAGAAGTAGTGGGCGTTGCGCCACAGTCCTCTGGATTAGCTCCGCGCTGCGGCCCCACTCACCCCCCTCCTCCCAATAGGCGGGCGCTAAGACCCAGCAGGCGCCACTTCGCCTTCGCCCGTGGTCAGAGACCAGCTTGGACACCAGGGGGCGACGGCTGACCCCGTATAAAAGCGGGGCCCGCGCGGGCCTGGCCATTCGCGACCCGGAGCTGCGCGGGCGCGAGCCAGTAGGGGCTCCGGGTGGGCGGTGGCAGCAGCGGCGCTCCGCGCAGGCTGGAGGCCACCGAGGCTCGCCATGCCGGGAGAACTCTAGCTCCCCCATGGAGTCGGCCGACTTCTACGAGGCGGAGCCGCGGCCCCCGATGAGCAGCCACCTCCAGAGCCCCCCGCACGCGCCCAGCAGCGCCGCCTTCGGCTTTCCCCGGGGCGCGGGCCCTGCGCAGCCCCCTGCCCCACCTGCCGCCCCGGAGCCGCTGGGCGGCATCTGCGAACACGAGACGTCCATCGACATCAGCGCCTACATCGACCCGGCCGCCTTCAACGACGAGTTTCTGGCCGACCTGTTTCAGCACAGCCGGCAGCAGGAGAAGGCCAAGGCGGCCGC